GTGATAAGTTCTCTGGAAAAAACAAACGGGGCTGCAGGAAAAATCTCAGACATACTTGCATTGCTACTGAGGGTCTTGACTTTACTATCTTAGAAATGTCTCTCCACAGAAGTGACAGAGTCTTGCTAAGTTCTTAAATGTTCACTACATTTTACACATGTAAATGTCATTGTTTTGGGTTCTCACTATGCACTGTGGGGGCTCTAATGGGGCACTCCCTGGACCATGGTCCCATTGCACACACCTTGGCCCATGGGAGGCTTTTGAGGACGCAGGGACAGCCCCACTGGGCAGCAGGGGTGCTCATCCCTTGTGTTTTCCCACGCGGCTCACACCCTCCCTAACAGCAGAGTTTGACTCAGAATCTTTGGGCAGCATCGGCAGCACCATTCTTTTTAAAAAATTTTTAATTCTGAAATAATATGAGAAATATGGAAATTATATGGGTTGCAGGAACACTATAAAGCACTCCTTCATATGCTTCATCCACACACAGACATCTATTTTTTCCATAAGAGGACACTGCAAATATAATGGCCTTTACCTTTTCTTCCCCCATCTTTACAGGGGTGTAGCTGACATCACTAAGACCACATGACGTGAACAGTGGGGTGACTGCAGGTGCGTGCACACTGGGCAGCACTGTTCTTTGGGTGACACTGCGCACCTGTTTGACTCAGCTGACTTTGGCTTCCCATCTGTGAGATTCGCCCATTCCTTGGAGGGGTTCAACGGGGGAACCAGACAGAAGAAGCAGACCCAGGCCTGAAAATCTGAGTAAATGCCCTTCACATACCTGGACACTATGATAGCCATAAAATCCTAGTGCAAATATCACACTATGTATCTGCTGTAATAATGAAAATTTAGATCAAAGAAGCATCAAATTGTAGGCGAACAGAACAGGAAAATGCTGAACAGAGGGAAGAACCTCGAAAATTCCTGTCCTTTCTCCCTTAATTCGAGGTGGCCGGCTTCTTGGTGGTGCCCAGGGTGCTGTACTATTTTCCAGACATGGACTTTGCAAGAGACGTTGCCTGTTCCTGAGTGTATTCTAAGCAGCCTGAGTGTTTACATCTTGGGCTGATGGACTTTCAGACTCTCAGCTCCATAGTTTTACTCCCCCCGCAAATACCCGAACATGGGAAGCAACAAAGACTGATAACAACTTCATTCCATTATGACCAAGTTGATAAGTGTCTTTTCTTATATTCCGGAGGAAAAAAAAATATCCCACACAAGCTTTTGTGGTCTCATTCTGGCTACAGAGTTAAGATAATTTTCTTGGGGCACCAAAGTTTGGAAATGCCAATAGATGTAAGCGCTTGACATCTTCCTGCATTTGCAAATTGTCCAGAATTCTTTGTCAAGACTAGCATAAGCAAAGAAAGCCATGCTACCTGGAAAGAGGAGGCAGGCCAAATAACTAACACACTGACTCTGGGCCTTGAGGTCTACACAGTGACCTGTCTTTTCCCTTCACTAACTTTAGACAGACATGATTAAATGCCTCATCTCTAAGAGGGCAAAGCCACAATATTGAAAAATCTGTCAAACCCAAGGTCTGTACAGATTTCCTCCAACAATTGGGACAAACCTTTCCAATGGTCAAACTTCAATTTACCAGTAATCTGTCAAATAAAGGAGAATCAGATCACGAGATTCTTTTTTGTGTTTTTTTTTTACAAAATATATTTATACTTGGACTTCATCTTTTCTTTGAAAAAAAAAGGGGCAGAAATTAGATTGAAAACACACCTCCTTAATATTTTTTAAAAGAATGTTTCCACTAATCTAAATTTAAACTTGAGTGTCATTTTTTTCTATCATCATCATTAAAAACTCTACAAAATCTTATGAAAGACTAGAAAATCTTTCTGTTTTTACATTTTATGCCATAAGAGACATGATTAAACTGACAAGTTTCCAAATAACATGAATAATGTATTTCCCCTTTATCCAAAGCAAATGCATTTTGCTCCTAAGAGATGTTTTAATCCAGTCCCTTTTTTTGAGACGAGAAAAGGAGGGATGAAAGGATTTACAGTTAGAATTGGCATTTAATAAAAGACACATATTTGACTCCTGATTATAAAATAATTGCTGTAGTAATTTTGAGTTTAGACAGCAGTAGTGGATTTTGATATGAATGAAGAGAAAATTATATTTTTGTTAACATTCAAGGTAACCTCTTTGGGACAGAATTATTAAAAGTTATTCTTCATTATGCCATGGCAACAGAGGAGCCCAGGTTAAGAAATCTTATCTCTGTATGTGTCTAAATACTTACTCCAGGAAGCACCAGATCTGCATCTGTAGAATATGTTTCAAAGAACAGCCTAAGCGTTCATAAAACTTGATAGAGAAGGTTAAAATGCCTTCTGATCCTCTCCACTCGTCCTCCACTACACCCCACCCCTTCCAGCAGAGAACGTGCTCATACGAATGGTCAAATTCAGTCACCACCACTGGATCATTGGGAGTGGAGCTTGTGGGGAGTGGGGGGAAAGCCATGGCCCCTCTAAGGTTTCAGCTTCCTAGGATTTGCTTACTCCCCAGTAATGGGGGCAGCACAATGGCCCTGTGGCTGCATCTGCCCTGAGATGCGCCTCTGCACAGAGAAGGTCCAGGGGCTCGCAGATGAGCCAAGCTCTCCTTAGGCCTTCCTTCAGTTCCGCGGTGCACTTTTCTCTAGACACATCTTTCCTTGCTACCAGGGTGGTAATGATGCCTTCGAGGGAAGCAAGTTTGGGAGGCAAGCACAAGAGACAGGAGCAAAAGGCTGTAAACTTGCACTTTGCTCTTAGAGCTCCATGTGGTCCAACCTACTTCGCCAGGAGAACACTTGGGGACTTTTCAGCAGAGGCTCCAGCAAACAACAAGGAGTGTGCACGTTCGTGGCCTTTTCCTCTGTGCGTCTCTCTCTCATGGGCTTAGCAGGTGTAAAGGTAGACAGGTAGGTGACTGGTCAAGACTTCTGGAAGCTGGGTTAGATCTGTCTTTGATTTAGTGACTTCTTGGCCAAAGATCAGCAGAGACTCCCTTCTTTTTGCCAGAACGAGAATTAATAGGTACTTTTAGGTAAAAAAGTAAAGTAAAGCTTCAGAACTCTAAGGGTCAACAATCAGTCAGGAAGCAGTTTCCAAGAAGTTCCTTAATTTTCTCCTTAAGATAATAGTAAGAAATACCCAGCTATTAACCACTTAGGTTTCTGAGCCCACTGGTTGGTGAAGTCTTTTTCCTTGCACTGTCCTAAATAACTAAGAAGACTTTGAACACCCCTGCCCCGTCTGACCACCACCTATGAGAGATGAACACAAAGGTGTTTGTCCACATTCAACCCCAGGAAAATGACCTAGGAAGCCTAAAAAAAAGGTTCAAGATTCCAGTGACTTCTAACTTGACATGAGGAGGAACAGAGAGAAATTCTATAACGAAGAATCACTTGTGTGTCATGAACTAAGGATCATGGTTAACAACTTCTGTGTACCTAACATGTAACTTAAAAAACTAGTTAATGACTTTAAGGAAAAGTGTAGCCCTCACATGTGTTATAATTTAGTATGTGACACTAGAGAACCAGGAACACTCGATAATGGTCAGTGCTGTCATTTGGTACCACGTGAAGCGGCAAGGACGTCGGAAGTCTCCTCCCTCTGCCCACCAGAGGAGAACTGAGCACCAGCTAAGGTAGAGAAGCCAAGAAGGGACTGATGTATAACTGGCATTCTGGAACTTCAAACTCCAGGTGCCTCTTTATTGCTGATAAGGAAAAAGCAGAGAACATAGCCTGTAGCCGACTACAGTAGTTTTCCTAAATGTGACCAGCACTAAGAATGATGTTTTATAGGATGGAATGGAAGAAATCTTGGCACTGGGTGATACCATCCCATTACAGAATTCAAATTACTTTAGAATCTTCAAAGCATGCAAACAAGGATGTATAATATGTTCACAATATGCCTCTTTATAAGCCATGTATTTCATAATGAATCTAAGCCTTCAGAATAAGAACAAACATAACCACATGTAGTTCTTACAAAAATAAATAACAATCATGAAAAGGGTTGCTCAGAAACTGGACTCATCTTGCTCTTTATTCAAATGGAAAACTCCCCTTTTCACTGACAGATTTGCCAAACCATATATTTAAGGTTGGAAACACTGCCTCGTTTCTCTTGAACTGCTTAAACTACTCTACTCTAAAATCCTGTAGCTAAGGTTTAGCTGTACTCAGTTTACTTGTATAAAATACATATAAAGACATTGTTTTTCATAAACGTTTAAATGTATTAAGGCTTTTAACCCTTCTGCTAACCACAGTTGCTCCCATAAGAGGTTTTTCCATGAATTACCTAGTTCAAAGTCTGAATAATACTTTGAATTTCCTTTCTCTTTTAATTTTAGACCTTTTATGTCATTCTCAAATTCAAAGCTTCAAAAAGTTTTGGGGTAAAGACATTTTAAGATATTTATCCGACATGTTCTGTTGGCAAAACATGTATCACTTATTATATTACAAGAATCCTAATCACGGCTTCCTAAGGAAACAAAGCCCCGGAATTTTGTACGAGTTGTCCAATGGAAGTAAATCCATATGCAAAGAGATAAGAAGAAAGAAGTAATTTGTTATTCAGCATCTATATGATCTGCTCCAGCAATTCTGAGCCCCTTTGTTCCGGCGGGTATGCCTCAGTAAAGAAGTAGATGCCGCTGTGAAAGTCAGCCCCTGGACACAGAGGGGAAAGTCAGTAAATGAGTGAGAGCTGATAGAAATGCAAGTCATTTCACAAAGGATTTGCACACAAGATGAATTCTCACAAGCTGACAAGCTTTTCCAAAGTCTAGCTTTTTGAGTATTGTTTGAACAAGTTTTGTAGAACCCCGTCTACACCCTATGAAATAGCATTTGATTTTAATTACCAAGTTGGAATTATTTAGGATCACCAAATAACGGTTCAAAAGTAAAACAGCTGAAAAACCCAGCAGTCCGGTCTAACCTGGGATGCTCTGTCTCCTCACAGCCAACGCTCCATCAGGCGGCTTTGTCTGGCTGGCGGATTTAGTGTAGGGACTCTCATCTGCAAAGGTACAATGAAGGGTTTGGTTAATTTCCATCCAGTTTCTCACGCAGTGAAGATTTTTCAGTGGATTGCAATCCTTCTTCCAGAGAGAGGTGATAGGGTGTGGAACAGTAGAGAGAGTCAGGAGACCTGCCTCCTAACCTTGCTTTAGCTGGAGGTCAAGTCATTTAAAATGCTCTGAGCGTCAGTTTCCTCTCCTATAGAAGAGGGGTATACTTTCTCATCCACCTCTTAGGATTGTCAGGATCAACCTATAGTGCACATGAAGGCGTAAAATGGTAAGAAGTATGCAAATATAGTCTACAAATTATTTGCCTGTCACTTACATTCACTGATAAATAAGTATCAGTGAATATCAGTAACAGGAAAACAAAGAAGGAATAAAATGGCTCAATGGGCACTAAGAATAATCAGGTAGAAGAACAAAGGAAATGAAAAGAAATGTTATATTTCAGATAAGCAGATAGAGCATTAGTATTGCAGGGGAATAAAGACACACAGAATTAGTGGGTTCCTCTTGAAAGTGTGAACTGGCATCCAGCACAAAATGGAGGGACAGGGACATTCAGAGCAAGACAAGAGAAGTTAGGTGGAGAACAGGGAAGGAATGATGGTTTGGCAAAAGAAGTCACATATTGCAACGAGCTGATCTGCCCTCTTTTAGAAAGAGATGAAAATAACCTGCAGAATCATAGAAGAGTAACCGAAAAGACAGAAGAACTAAAGCTTGTACATCTGAGAGTTAGGCAAGAAGCTGCGTGAGCAAAACACTAGCTGATGAGCTCATAGAGGTGAAGGATCCATCAAATTCTAAGTAAAGTGATTTTTTTTTTAAATCTAGAAAACAAATTAATCTGGCTTGGAATATAACAGTAATACTCTAGGATGGGAAATATTAGTGTTATAAAATAGAAAGGAAGAATTCTTCCTAGTTTGCATGGGGCATTTGTATAAAGTGAAAGAGATGTCTGAGTGGCCTTAAACATTTTCAAGAATAGGATGTATATGGCCCAAGTAGACATAATGGAACATATTTATCCAGTATATCTAGTCATGCTACATGACCCAAAGGTTACTGCAGGCCGCATTATAAGGTTTGTTTGTTGTTGTTGTAATAGGAAATCACTAAAGGATTAAAAAGAACCATATTGTTCATGGCAAACTATTCAATATAACAAGGATTTAATTCAGCAACAAGGCTTTGTCATCTGAAAACATTAGTTTTCCCAACTAAGTGGTTTTTGTTTCAAAATTGAGGAACTCAACTCCTCTCCAAGATGTACTTTTGGGTTGAAATGATTCACAATTTCTTCATAAAACTAACAAGATCTCTATCAGCAATGACAAAAAGGAAATATTAACACTGCTGTAAGTTGCAATTAACTTAAAAAATGGAAGTCACACTGTTTCATGTTTATATTCCATTTGTCACACAATTTTTTATATTCTTCCAACCATGAAGACAAACGAGCAACTTTCAGATACCAATCCAATCGGGAGCATCGTCTTTGCTTATGAAGCAGTCTCCTAGCTCTTGGACTCTTTCTCTTTGCAAGTGCAACTCTGAGCAAAGTCAGAAACCACAAAACAGAAGGGAAGCATTCCACACGACAAGGCTCCACTTGCCCCTCCACTCCCACCTGAGCACCTGAGTGGTTTTCTCAATGTGGATTTAATAACCAAGCACTATGCTTTATATAGCACCCATTAAAACACACTTACCACATGTTAAATCTGGATTCTTTGTAAAACCCATTTACAAATATATTTCCTTTTATTATCCAAGACTTTGAAAGTGTGTATTTACGAGTACAGAGCACGGAGCCAGGAGACATAGATCATAACAACCAGTGTTGGGGACAGCATCTTGGAAGCATACCAGCTTGCCTCAGTTTTTAATTTGTCAAGAGTCCAGCCAATTAAAGTCTTGGGTTGAATCCAGTGTGGGGTTTCTTAAAGGCCAGTAAGAGATTTGCCCAGAAGACTCTGGCTTTTTTTGCACTTGATACTCTATTTTAAGGGGTCATTTCTTCAGAAATTTACCCAGTTTGCATTACAGAAGTAGTCAACCCTGGTGAAATTGTTTTCTCATTTATATTTGAAAACAATTTCCTTGATGTAGAGCTGAGAAAGTCTAGTTATGCATATCCTTAAAAGGTTGAACTGAATTATAGATGGCCACTTGGCCAGCCTCTACATATCCATGCCCTCGCCCCACCCTCACTCCCAGTATTAAGGGTGTCCTTACTAAGCACAGGCGAAAGTAAACAATTATCTAGAAACCAAAAGTTGTATTGGCTAAAAGACAGACTGAAATAAGTTCAATATTATCTAAGAAATAGTTTGCCAAAGTCAACCAAGGTGAAAGCAGTAATTCCTAACAGAAGTGAGGCAGAATCTTGGCAACGTTTTTCATGAGAGTAAAGGAGAGCACAGTACCAGAGCAGCATGGCACCATTTAACACTTGTTTTTAAAGAAACTTTTCCTAAGAATATTTCTTTATTTTAAACCTCTAAGAGGAATCATGGGCCTCTTATAAAAAGCTACCCATCACAGAATGGACATCAACTCTCTTAATACGATTTACTCAAAGTTAACTCTTGATTCAAACTTTGTTTGGAAATAGAAATGGAAGGAAGACACTGAATGAATCAGTGGCTGATGGCTCCGTAATAGGAGAGGAAAGGACAAGAATGTCTGGGGTACATTTTTAATCCTTGAGCATAAAGCCAAGGATTAGAGAGCTATGGAGCCTTCTATTGTGGTTTTCTCACGTGTCCCTTAAGGGAGATTTCTGGATATATTGCTAGAATTTCAAGATTATAAGGGATGATCTAGACCAGTCTTTCATTTTATAGTCAGGACTTGAGGCCCAGGGAGGGGAATTTACAGAAGGACACATATCTAGAGTGAGTTGAGACTGAATTTCTTTTCTTCTTACTCCCATGCTCTTTCCTCTTTATGTTATTTCCTCTTGGCTGGACAGTGAGATATGATGGGCTGTCAGGTGTGTGTTTCTGTATCAGGCAGGTAATGGCTGGACATCTCACCCCAGCAGAGGCCTTGCATGATGTAAGTTAATTCCTATGGAGAAGCCTATGAAAATGAGCAATCATAGCCAGTTCTTCTTGTGTGTTTATAAATCTCATCCCCCTCCCCACCATATTTGTTTGCTTAAAATGAAGTACACTTAAATTGCACCTCAGGACCAATTTATATATATATAATTTTTTCTTTTCGCAGGGAAGATGTGCCCTAAGCTAACATCTGTCGCCAGTCTTCCTCCTTTTCTTCTCCTCCACAAAGCCCCAGTACGTAGTTGTGCATAGTTCCAAGTTCTTCTGGTTCTTCTCTGTGAGCTGCTGCCACAGCATGGCTACCGACAGATGAGTGCTGTGGTTCTGCATCCTGCAACCGAATCTGGGCTGCCAAAACGGAGCACGCCAAACTCTAACCACGAGGCCATCGGGGTTGGCTCCCAATTTCTATTTTTGAGTTTACTTTTCTGAAGACAAAAGCTTAAATAAACGCCAATACAATTCACTGTTCCTCAGTAAAGGCCTCTGAAGTTTCTCTGAACGATAAGATCTATGTGAATCCCTCCCCTTTGTTTTCTCAGGGAGACACTGACTAGATGTTCGAGTTCCATCCAATTACATAAATGAATTAAAAAATAGGTCAAGTCACAAGGAAAAAAAACCAAATCAACCAGTAGATGATATCCCTGCCACAGCGTATGCATTCTTCACATATTTTCTGATAGAAGCCTGGATTATATCCCACCTTTCAAACCAGCATTTATTGTAAATAAGCAACCTGAGGAAAGCCAAACATTTGTGATGAGTCCTCTGGACCTCTGACTTTCTTTTTCTAGGTTTAAAGCCTGTTCCTTCTCAAGTCACATCAGGGCCCATCAGCTATCAAGTATTGACTTGTTGTATGTTAAAAATCTGTGATTCTTTATAAAACTGGTATTAAAATATATTTTCTTTAATTTTCATTTAGACAACAGAAGTATTTATCGAACAACCTTTAAACAAAAGAATTCTGATTTTCATACCAGATTCCCGGCCTTGACTTTGACGGTGGATCCTACTAACAGGAGGTCCTTACTGAAATCACCATAGGGGCAAAGCAGCCGTTCAGCCAGGGAGCTACTGCTCACTGAAGTGAAGGCCACAAGTAATCGCCACGGGCAGCTCAGGGCATCAGAACTGTCAGCCGTTCCTAATGACATCTTAGCAGCCAGATAATCACTGCCACACATGATGGCCACCCAGTGTCACAAAGGCTGCATATTCGTCATAACAAGGAAGAGCATGGGTCCCCTCTACAGGGACATCCCATGAGGCTAGGAAAGTGCCCTCCATTAAATGGAGAATCGACACTGTGACAGAGACACAGAAAATGCTTAGTCAAGCATATTCTTAAAACAGAAGCGGAACAACGGGTGGCACCATCTGTCCTTCTCATTCCCCTCAATTTGACCAGTCTCCTCGTGTGCCCAACACAGGAGAGGCAAACACAGATCACTTGTTTTGATGACATGTTCCAACGGAGGCTGGTGTTTATAAACTTGGAAAGCAAATGGCAGGCTCCTGAGGACCAGCGCTTCATTCTGCATCACAATCAAAGCCCACGCCAGAGCCAGAGAACTGGAAGAATGGACTCAAGTCCCCTCATGTTCTGATAACCTTGAACATCTGCCTGGCGTCAAATAGCATCCATGTGTAATCAGGCTGGTTCTTGTCTTTCCATCTCCGGCCTCTGCCATTCCCAGGGCCTGAGATTCCCAAAGGAACCGGATATGATTATGGTCTCAAGAATCTCGAGCTGTGTTCAGGGCTTTGTGGAAGAAAAAAAAAATTAATTTCCTCTGGCTGAGACTAATCAGCCTGTGCTAAACAATTCCTAGCAATGCAGTATGCACGATCGAGACACCTGCTAAGCTAGCAGATCCCTTAACTTCTTGATTAGAAAAAAAGGCATTTTGTGC